CGCGGCCGCATGCATCTGGACTGTCTCTGGCGGTGTCGCGGTGAGTGGGCAGAGCAGCGCGCCGCGCAAAGCCCGCTGCTGCGCGCAGCAAGATCGCATCAAGCAGCGCGTGCTGGTGCAGCGCCACGTCAAGTCAGCTAAGCACAAGGCCTCGCGCCGCTTCTCCGCCTCGCCGCTGCGCGCTTGCGCCGCGCCGCGCCTGCGCCCCGCCCGACGTTGCACGTCCGCCGCCACCGCCGTCGCACTGACCCGCCGCGCCGCTTCGCTAAGCGTTAAGAGGGACGACCACGAGAGAGACGACCAAGAGATAAGGGTAAGTTTGTCTTTTCACAGGTCTTTTGTTAATTTTTAATTACTTTGATCCGGATGTAGATAACTGAGTTAAGAATTAGGGTAAACGGAGCCTTCGTTTTGAAAAAGTAGGGGTATAAACACAAGGTGTAAGAAAGTGGAGGTAAAATCACAATTGGGGTTTGAAATAGGGGCAAAAACGCAATATTCGGAAGGGCAAACTTGTCATCTTTCAACTTTTTTAACACCGTTACCTGCTGTTCATGGAGAGGGGTAAACTGAACCTTCGTTTTGGAAAAGCAGGGGTAAAAACACAAAGTGGAAGAAAATGGAGGTAAAATCACAATTGAGGTTCAAAATAGGGGGCAAGAACGCAATAGCCCCTAGTTTCTTAATTAGTAATTATTTGTTCTTTGATCTCTTCTTAGCTCGTACCTGTATATCATAGATTCACGCAACAAAATTCAGAAGATTTCCCTTTGCTTGCACAAGTTTGAAAAATAAAAACTCACAGTAATCACAAAGAAGTATGAGAAATTTAAGAAAAAAATCATGTACAAAAAGAATATGGGAGAAGCACCTACCAAACCATCGGCCCTATCTCCACAGAGTACCACTGTCACAGGCAGTCCTTCTCTAATCTGCTGCTCAAGCATACGACACCAACTATGATTATACGAGGCTGCTGCAGTAATTACCAGTTTACCACAATGCATGAACTGGGTAAGGTTTGAAACAGCGATTAGTGATTTGAGGAAGTACTGTGTGATGGGAAGATGATCGCACCGAAGGCATAATCAACCAGATCATTCTGATCCAACCAGAAGGGGGCCACACAATGGATCTAGCATATAGGACACAAAGGTTTGAGGAGATCAGATCAGGACCTGTCTATTTGCAGATACGGTGGATGCAGAGTGGATTGCCCTACAGATGGCCTTGGCAAGTTGTCGCCGCCGCATCTCCCAATCACGGTCTGCAGTGCAGATTGGGTCAGCTGCTGCTCGTATGTCCCATGAGGCCGTGACGCTGGCCGCGCTCGGCCGGCGCAGGCGGTGGCTGTGTGCCCGGGCGGCGACGGCTCCGCGACCCGAACGGCGGCACCTGCAAGGGAGGGATGAACAAAGCTGTGACCTAATAATTTTGGGAGTAGGAAATACGAACTGCCGTGGCGAGGAGCCGAGGACTGGTTGGCACAATATAATGACCGCATATTGCTCGCGGGGCGGCGTGGGAAGTGGAGGAGGTTGGGAACACCTGCAACGCATTTTGCTATCGTTGGAAGACATATGTTGCAATACGGGTGTTTGTGTTGCAATGACGTTTGCCTCAATAATGGAATCATATTTGCTGCCACGTTTGGAACTTCTAAGACATCCTATATATACCATCCGTTACCTTCGAGCTTCCGATCCTAATCAAGTGTATCAAAAAATCCAAGATAATCCTAGATTCTATCTATTTTTTAAGAATTGTCTAGGTGCCATTGATGGAACTCATATTCCTATTTCCATAGCCTCTGAGAAAGCTTCTCCTTTTAGAAATAGGAAGGGCACATTAAGCATTAAGAGGATTTTGACTGTAGAGATGTATTTCTAGTCAGGTTGAAAGTGAGATGTGCTCCTTTCATTTAGCTTGAAAATTGCTTTCCTTTTACAGTAAGGTTAAAAGCTGAGATCTGCTCCTATCATTTAGCAAATGAAACAGTTTTATTTGAATTATCAGTTTGTCACTAGTTGTCTATTTTCACCATTCTGATTATGTTTCCACCGTTCCTAGTTAGGTAACTGAAATATGTCTCGTGACTTTAGTAAATTTATTATTATTATTATACATAGTGTGCATCATAAGTTAATAATAATGGCTATCCCTTGCTGTGAATGTATATGTTACTATGTTGTTGTTTGTATCCAGGGACATTTGAACCTCATGGTTAAGTTAGATTTTTTTATAACCACAGTAATGGCCAAAAGAATTTAGATATCACAAACCGGAACAAGTGATGTTTCCTATTTGTACATGTTAGGGCTTGTTTTTTCTCTCTGCCTTTTAGTCTTACAATTTCAATCTAATAGCAGCTGCTAATTCACAGAGGATGCAGTCACTTCCATTTCTATATGTTAGGAAGTTAGCAAAGTTTTTACCATATTAGTACTTAAGATAACTACAACCAGTTTTAGATCATCGAAAAGAATCATCACCGGCATGGTTAATGAACTCCACAGAAGTAAACATGGTTGCCGGCGCTGGACTGAACTTGTGGCAAAATTTGGTTGCATGATTCTTCTGGATCAGTTTGATAAGAAAGGCAGAGAAACCATTTGTCCTTTCAGTTTGATAAGATAGGGATAGAGCCTGTGAAGGCACTGATTAGTTTCATAACTAATCAAACTTTTAAACAGACACAATGATTTAATTATACTTTGGTTGACTACATTGCGAGTCATTTTCGTTCAATTATTCACTAATTTGTAAAAAAACTTACTGTCATTTTCAGGGAGGAAGCAATGATGATCAAGAAACATTTGATTGGACAAAGTGCCTGGACACTTTAGTAGGCTTAGACGAGTTATCTACTAGTTTAAATTATGCTTTGGATTTGTGCACTTTGTGATGGTTTGTGTGAGAAAAGATTGTAATTTCATGAGTGGATCATGACAGCCTTTTGGTGCACCTTTTGTCAATTTTGACAGTAGCTAGCATGTCCTTTATCTGTGGCTACATATTATCTGTGGTACTCTTTGCTGCCCATTATCTCTACATGTATGAGAGCATGATAACAGACTTGTAGATAAAGTACTCCAAAACATGGGAGATTTATTTATTTTATTTTGCTGCAATGTATGAGAGCTTGTTTTTGCTGCAATGTATTTGCAATGTATTTCATGAAATGTATTTGTAGCACTCCAAAACAGGCACGTATCCAAAACAGGTATCTGCTGTTAGTGCCCCAAGCAATACCTGTTTTGGATCCTTGGCAAACCGAACAACAGATAGTTGAAGCAGGGAATAGTCACAGGTAGGGAATAGTTATGAGAGAATTCCTTATTTGTCACCAGACAAATGACCCGTTCCTTTCTTGGCCCTCAAAAAAATTTCGTTCCATATTTAACACCGAGTTCATCTTTCATTCCTTATACGACACTCCGTTGGATTCTCCATCCGTGAACCGTTAACTGCCATGTGAAAAAACGATTTTGCCCCTGTGGGCCCCACCACCCTTCTCCCTCCTCTCCTCCCTTTCTCCCTCCTGTCCGCTCCAGTGTAAGCAGCACGCCCCTTTCGTCTCCTCTTCCTCCTCCTCTCCTCTTCCTCCCGAGTCCAGGGAACATTCCGGCGCCCAGCTTGCCCTGCGCGTCTTCCCGCTTCCACTTCTCCACCGGCCGGGATCTCCCGCTCTTTCCTTGCCGCCGCAAGCTGGCCTGGAGCTCCTCGGCGCGCTCCACGCCGCATGGTCTCGCTGGCCCTGAGTCCCTCGTTCTCCCGCGCGAGCCTCCAGTGGCACGCTCTTTCTCCGCGACGGCCTCCTGATCCGGCGTTGTCGCGGTCGCGACCTCGAGCGCCTCGGCGGCGCGTTAACCTCCTCGACCACTTGCTCCAGCTGCTGGCGCAGCCTTGGCGTTGTCGTCGGCGCAGCACCGGCGCGCCGTGTCGATCTCGGCGGCGCTCTCGCTTGCAGCGGCGGCGGCCTCCTCCTCCGCGCCACGCAGCGCTTCCAAGCAGCGCCTTCTCCTCTGGCGCGCCACCCGTCGCTGGCGTCCTTCCGGTCGGTGGTGAGCGCGTCGGACGCGCTTAGTCGCCGACCACAGCTCGCCTCGGCGCCCTAGAGAGAGGCCCCGGAGCGGTCGCGCTTCGGCGTGGGCCGCCTCGGCTCGTCCCCGCGTCACATAGCCACGCTTTTGACTCGCCGCCTCCCATGCGACCATGGACAGCGCGCCGCGGTGAGCTTCGTCCGCCGCCTTCCGGCTCCGCTCCTCGGCTGCGTCGACGTAGCGGAGCTCGGCACGAAGCTGTTGATCTCCTCATCCATGCCGCCGAACATGAGGTCCATGACGCCCACCGCTGCTGTGTATCGTATGCGTATGCCGCGCCGCGCTGCGGCCGGCCCGATGGCGGCGGCCTCGAGCCTGGCCTCCTCGAGATCGATCTTGGCTCGCTCCAGCTCCTTGGTCTGCTGGACCGGCGACTCCAACATCTTCATCATCTCCATTTGCTTGGCACGCCGCCGCCCCCGCTCCAGAGAGCCGCATCACACGCTCCTTATCCGTGGGCGGCGCCGCGTCGCTCACCATGGCGACTCCTCCATCGTGGGCGGAGAGGAGGGAGAAGGGGAGGAGAGGAGGGAGAAGGGTGGTGGGGCCCATAGGGGCAAAATCGTCTTTTCACATGGCAGTTAACGGTTCACGGATGAAAAATCCAATGGAGTGTCGTATAAGGAATGAAAGATGAACTTGGTGTCAAATAGGGAACATAAATTTTTTGAGGGCCAAAAATGAAATGTGTCATTTGTGTGGTGTCAAATAAGAAATTCTCTCAATAGTTATAGGGCAGGGAATGAGTGACAGGCACGTATCCACTCATTCCTGGGCTGAAAGAAATCTGCTCCGGTATTGAATTCACAGCAAACGAAACGAGGCCTAAGCATGCATTGCATGCAAACGGTAGACGGTACTGATGTTGTGGCGTGATACATACATTGTCTTCTGTAGAGTGCCCTGCAACTACAACGGCAGGACCGTCAACTTCAAGGTGGACGCGGGGTCAAAACCGTACTACCTCGCCGTGCTGATCGAGTATGTGGCCGGCGACGGCGACCTCTCCGCGGTGGACATCATGCAAGCCGGCTGCAACTGGTGGACGCAGATGATGCAGCAGTCGTGGGGCGCCGTGTGGCGGGTCAACTCGAACAACGGCCAGCCGCTCCGCGCGCCCTTCTCGGTCCGCATCACCTCGGGCTCCGGCAAGGTCCTCGTCGCCAGGAACGCCATCCCCGCCGGGTGGAGCGCCGGGATGACCTACCGGTCCGCGGTGAACTTCGGCTACTGAGGCAGTGCGCGCGTAGGAGTTGTTTCTTTTTCTTCGTTCATGGAGCTCTACCCCCTTGTCAGTTTTACAACGAGTTTGGTATGTGCGTCCGGGAAACGCGAGAGGCCGCGCTGGAGGAGGAGGTTGGGTATATTCGTGCGTGTTCGCTGTCACGATGTCTTTGGTGCCTCCCTCCACGGTGTGTCCGGGAAACCGTGGAAGGGTACTCCCTCCACAGACCAGTGTGTTTTCCTTGTGATGTAATGATGTCTTTGGTGTATCCAATGCAAAAACTGCAGAACTATTGGAGTCACAGTACTTGTTAAAAGTGTGCTCATGCATCAGGATGTTATAGCTATACATCATCTTTTATTATTCTTATAAACAGAGATGTGATTGTGTTAAGCGATTAAGCGAATTCCATCTACTGCTGAGCGCTACGGGTCGCCACTGCCCGGGCTCCAGCCTCTAGGCCACCGCTACCATCCATTCCAGGGCACCTTGCAGCTACTGCTTAAGGGCTTGTGCTGGCCGTCGTCTCATAGCTGTAAATTTTGCAAAAACATCCTTCACCAGCAGCAGACGCCGGCTTCGGCTCGTGCTCCGAGGACTCAGCTATGGACGGGCGGATCTTGTGTGGGCGTTGAAGAGAAAATGAAGTGCACGTGAGCGACGCAGAGTACGTGAGTTCCGAAAGTGTTTTTGCTAGCTTCTTTTTTTGACGTTGGTTTTGCTAGCTTCTCGTCTTCTTCCAAAGAATGCACAAATTAACTGAAACTTATAAAATTAATATAAAATCAATATTGAATCCAAAAATTACAATTCGAATTTTATTAGGTTCCTTTCGACTAGAACTATAATTTAGAAGTGATGCACCACATATTACACCTTGACGGTTTTCTGTATGTTTTATTTTGTGGGACCATTTGTATATTTTTTTAAAAGTTGTTTTGCTATATAAAAATTGCAAAAGTTAAGTAACCTACTCGTATCAGTACGACGCTACAGGAAAATATATTCATGTTTGATTGTGCTGCCGAAATTACTGGTCTAAAAATATTATAATCATGTTTAACTTAATTATGCTTAATCTGTTTTTGTATCAACTAGCAACACACTTGTATACAGGGATAATACTCATATTTAATCATGGATACATGCAAACATTAAACAACTTGTGGACGGTTAAATAGACAACCCATTTTATGAGCTATCTTTTTTTATTGTCTATGCACGGGTTTCAAAAACTTGCAGACAACAGATGGGTTATACATGCCCTAAGGCACCCTCCTACGTTTCACAGTTAAACAGTTCTTTAGATCTGGTCCAATAAATCTCCCAGTAAAATCATCACTGATATTTGGCCGGGAGCTTATTACCTATGGTGACTTCAACAAGGGACACAATGAGGTTGTCGATGCGGAAGTTGATTCATTACAGGAAATCAATTTGTGGTTACTATGTACTCCATTCCAAATTGTATTTTTCTAAATATATTATTTTATTATTGTGTATCTAGACATAATATATAGGATTTAGGTGCGTAACAAAAGATATATATTTACAAAAGTCAGAACGACTTATAATTTGGAACAAAGTACAAGGGTAAAGGTGCTCATGGGTGCTCCTAGTGAGAATATTAACTCTGAATCCTTGATGTCATCATCAATGGCCGCGTAGAGCAAATCAAGCATCCATCTTGATTGGATGAAAGGTTGGAAGGTGCTAAATCTATACTCCCTCTGTCCCCAATTAACTGTCGTTGTTGGATTCCGTGTCAAAAGTTTGACTCGATTTATAGAAAATACGTGCAACATTTGTATCTTCAAATAAAATTATTAAAAAACTAGATTCAAATATCTATCTAATGATATTAATTATGTACCATAAATATTAATATTTTATATATGTATTTAGTTAAAGTTGTTTCTCGAAAAGCGAAAATGACAGATATTTAGGGACGGAGGGTGTAGTTGTGATGTATCAAGTGATTCAACCGATGATATTTTTCATCGATTTGGATGCATTTTAGTCTAATTCTCGAACCTTAATTATGGCAATGTCCAAGATTTGAGGATTGGTTGATGGATTTGGCATGAGGACTTTTGCTTTGGTATTCGACAAGGCCCTGTCCATCTAGATGATGATGAGCCACTACAGAAGATGATGATGCAAGGACTTTAATCGAATATTGTTTCTTTTTTTATTTTTTATTTTATGTGTAATTCGGGGTCATAACCGATATTGTCCTCTTTCGGTCCATTTTTGTATTCAACACATATTTATTCATAAATATATTCGGGAAAATTCATATTCATATATACATTACAGATCCAAAGATAAACATGATATGCAATATCCGTTCGTACATGATTCGATTACAACCCCTGCCCACAAGCGCCACCAATGCCTCAACGTTCGGCATGGCACAACACTAGAGGGGTTGCAATCCAGCATGAAGTAGGTGGACTCACCTAGATCCTATATATTGACGTGGTGGTGTTGGTGCTGATGGTCGAATATGCTACAGGGACAGAGAAGGGTAGGGTGGGGTGTGGAGGAAGTGGTCGAGATGCTAGGGGTGATGATGGGAGTCGAGGAAGCCGTGGCGGGCAATGGCAATGCTACCGCTCGACGTGGCGTCATAGCTGGTGCATGAGAGAAAAATGGGGACAGAAGAGAAAGAATCGAAAGGAGGGAGGAAGAAGAAAGGGATAGAACAAAAACGATATATCTTATTATAGTTATTTGTCCTCTAGAGCTGAAAAAGAATATTTTAATAAACGTGGCGTTTTTCAGTAAATTTATCACAAGCTATAGTGTTCACTAGTTAATTGGACCTTTTTTTTGTCCGATGGCAATACAATATCATTTTCAGTATCCTATAGTAAATTATTGCAATAATATATTGACGTTGGTGAACCAATATAGAGCACTGTTGGTTAACATTACCCGTTCTAGCTTTTCTTTCCCATCACAACTTGTTCCTCGAGACAAAGTAGCTTATTCAATTTGCAAGTCAATGAACTAAGTACATGTTTTGCATAACACTGCTCACCACCATTACCAACATATTTCTATATTCAAGAAAAGACATTACCATCAAAACCTGTTTTTCCATTTATATACACTCTGCAATGATCACTGTGTCAACTACTCGGTGCTCTTGTCCTTAGCCCCTCGAACACAACGTGTAACGCGTCTCTAAACCGTCCTAACAGAGCAAACAAACCTGTCGGCAGGGAGGGGCCAGCCTCTCCTGAAGTGCCATCCTAACACAACAAACATGTCCTGCAGATCTGAGCTTTGACATCTTAACCAAAAAGATTCCAATACCCAATAATTAACTATTCATCAGAACGAAACTAGTTCATACGGAGTACACACGAAAGGATCGGATTGAGACGCAGTAGTAGCTCGGCAGGAGAGTGAATCAGTGATCCACGACCCTGTTGATTTTGCAAAAACAAGCCTGCACGCAGATCTCTGACGACGCTGTGTCCATTTTGGGCGTGAAACAGGTCGTGACCATACACTGCACCAAAAATCACAAAAAATTTCCACACGTAGAGGCACTGCGGTGTTCAGCGATCAACGGAGAAGAAAACACTTTCGGCCGCTTGCATCATCATTATTCTTTCGGCCGCTTCAAATTTTGTCTGACACTTGAGATTTTCTTTCGGTCTCGATCGCTTCGAAAGAATTGTCAACTTGCTTGGTACGTAGCACATTATAATAGTTATCTCTGGGCCGATCCATCCAGCTGGCCAGACGTGGCACATTTAGCAGCAATTATAAAATAGCTTTGTAGTCCCATGTTGACAGAGATTTTAGCTAATTATATCGTGTACGGCGAATATAATACAAAAGCAAGTCGACGAGAAAGTGGCAGGCAATAAAGTTCAATTTGGCCAATCAACATTTAGGGGCGTAGGGCACGGCAGGCGGCGGCATTGATGTATTATTATCAGAAATCAGTGATCTGCTTTATATTTCTGTAGGGAATGCAGATAGTTTTCATCATCAGAAATAATAGGGGACAATGGTATTCTTTTTACCAAGCGTACTTACAGCATCGGTTTAAATTAACATGGCGTTCTGCTGCCCCATGGTCTATGCATGTCATGTTAGAACTAACATTTTCGTATGAGAAATTTTACAATGGTTGAAAAAAACATGGACGATCCATTGTGCGAGATCGGACGGTAAAAAAAAATAGGAGGTATCTAACTGAAGGTACCAAATTAGGTATGATAGTATCAAATTATGTGGGACCAGTACCATATTAGGTGGGGCTAAATCTATTTTTCATTTTATATTTTATTTTTGAATAAGGGTAAATCAGTAATTTACTGCCATTCAGGGTAAATCACCCAACTCGGCTACGCTCTTGTACTTGTTTGAGCATCTTGAGCAGCTCGGTGACCTTCTCCTTGGATGCGTCCCAGCCCGTCCTCGCAGCAGCTGAAGCAGGCGCGGTGCCATCCCCGACCCCACCATGGTGGCTATTATGTCGCTGCTCACCAAGGAGATTATCCTTGGCATCTGGCGGAAGTTGAAGAAGAAGAACGTCAACATCCCCTCCCCGGCGAGCTCGGGTCCGATGACCCCGTCGAGGCCGCCATGGCCACGGTGACCGCCATGGAGACGGCACGCATTAGGAAGGACAACCCTGAGGCCAGCGTCTGCAGGAACATCCTCGTGCTCACCATGGTCCCGCGGCCGCTGCTTCGAGTCGGCCTTCACCTAGCGCATGCTGTCCGCTGCGCTCGCTCACTTTGCAGCCTTTCGGCCTCCGGCCGCACGCTTTGCAGTAGCCATGCGCCGACCCTATAGTTCGGCCTCGCTTCGTCTGCTCGCCTTGGCTGCGCCGCCGTGCAGGCCGGGCTCGCATGTCGACAGGTCCTGCCGGCCTGCCGCCGCTAGCACACGCCACACGCTGCCCGCACTTACATGCGAGTGCTCGCGCTATCCCTGCAGCTGTACCCCAGTGCCGTGCCATCGGTCACCGTCGCTAGTAC